TTTCTCAAATGATTACATCATCATCTGTCCCCCCCACTGTATTTTTATCACAAAGATATAAACACGTGTTTTTAATGCAAAAGTTGTTCATCAGATGAGGAAACAAATGGTATTTTGCCATCAAAATAGGCTTAGATGGGAACGAATATTCGTCCCATCAGTTATTTAATTAGTCATTGTTGCGTAATAAAAAGAGACTCCTACTAATTTATACATATATGTGGCAATTGATATAGTTAATAGTATCTTAATTCTGGTTACTCTGAATTCTATTAGTTGCATAATACTCTCTTATCTAACATTTGCTTATGTGATCACATATGTAGTAAATGAAATGGGCCCAAGGGAATGAGCCAGACATGGGCCCAATATGAGGGTCCAAAGCAAAAACCTTGTCGTTTTTTCTTTTGGAAATAAAAATAAAAGTTTGGGACCACTCATGGGTCTCTCATTTCCTCTTTTGGGACCTCGTCGTTTTTAATTCTTATAAAGGTTAATCCACCTTGATCATGTCACAAACACATACTAAAATTATACAATTGATATCATTACTTGCTGATAGAATAATATTTCTTTTTCCACCAAAAAATCGTGGGGCACAATCTTGACTATTCTATTGAAACTTCTCCTCCACATGGAAGAATTCAAGTTTATTTATATTCCCTTAAATTTTTAGGGCAACTTTTGTTCACTCTTTGCAGGCTAAAACAAATCATATTCATCCACACCTTTCCTCATCCACTTAAGCTTGTCTCCTCAAATGTGATATCATAATGCACAACGTACAGCATGGGATTCGTTTTAGGGATATTGATGCTCTTAAGCATTATATTATCCATCAAATCAGATAATTGAACAAATCTAAGTTGGATAAGACATCAAATTACTATTGTAAAACAACTTAACCTATATATATATATATATATATATATATATATATATATATATATATATATATATATATATGGGAATAACATCTCTCATTTTAAAGGATATAAGCTTATATCATTTTAGATCCAAATCGTTGATTTCTGTCCATCAATAGTTATAATTTATTGGATCAAAATTATTAATTAATTAATAATAAATTTGGCTCATTAAGTTTGACCCAATAGATTATAACCGTTGATGAAAGAAATCAACGGTTAGGATCTAAAATAATATAAGGTTATATCCTTTAAAAGGATATATGTTTTTCCTTTTATATATATATATATATATATATATATATATATATATATATATATATATATATATATATGGGTTTTATTTTTTTTCATACTACATGATACAAATTGTTTCATGCAACACACAAAAAAGTGAATGGAACCCACTAGAAGAGAGAGAGAAAACAAAAAATTGGGTTGCACCCACTTTTTTGTTATGTGTTGCATGAGATAATTTGACTCATGCAACATAAGAAAAATGAAACCCTATATATATATATATATATATATACTCTAACAAGGATCGACCTTAGTTCCTCATGCTTCACCATGCATGGCTCCCCACGCTGAAAATTCCGTGTTTTAATAAAAGAAAAAGATATTATTTTGTTTACTGGTAATGGCTGATTCGTATTTTAAGCTTTTCTTTCCTTTTTTGTTCAATGACGTTGGAGCACCCTAACGGCTGTCACTTGTGTTCACGATCAGAAACATCCATATGGGTTGGGCCGTTGCCAATGGCGGAGAACATGTTCTCAACTCTGTAGGCATGCCAGGTTTTTGGTCATCGGTGCACCACCATTCCTTGGCAGTGGGCGTGGATGACTGAAACTCCAATGATTTTTTTTTTTTTTTTTTTTTTTTTTTTATGGAATAATTGTGTTCAAACTGGGAACATCCATATCATGGTGGGGCTAGTTCTTTCAAAGAAGATATTTTGCATTCACAAGAATTTAAATGAACAATTTTGCTTCAGCGGAATTAAACATATACTACTTGAACCAACATTAACTCGGATGAAAAATTCTAACCTTCTATTAACTCCAGCGAAATTGAAGGATTAACCAGCAAAGCGCGGTAAAATATAAGGGTTTAAATGTAAATAATAGAAACCCTATTCTAAGATAAGATTCTTTTACAGTGAATTTATCTTTAAAGGGAATGAGTAAAGATAAATTTATCCTTTATTTAATCTGAAATATACTTGATATAAATTCACTAAACTTTAATTATAAATATGTTTCTATTTATTCACTTTAGAAATAAATAAATTATTTGACCCAAAAGAAAACTATATATACCAAACACCCACCTCATAGTAATATATACAAAAGCCTTGTGGAATTATGCAGCTAGCTAGAGGCAAGTGCATGATGCACGTGATGACCTAAAATTTTGTTGGGGATACCATTGGTACTCTCAAGTGAAGCGCAATTTTGAGAATTAAAAAATTAATTAATAAATAGTAAATAAAAAACAAGTGCACACACAGAATACGGTGAAATTGCAGGAGAGGGTTTCTAAGTTTGGAATTAATTGGGTTTCATTTGAAATTGGAATTGCAAAAGCAGATATTTTTGAATAAGTAAGTTAGGTTAAGTTTGATGGGTATGAAATTACTTGACCCGATACTGCTCAGTCCAATGAAACGGGTTTTATCATTTTTCACCCAATTTAATTTGATTACCCATACCAATTTGGATTTGTCGGTTTGAATCGGGTTAGGTAGCTCGAGTTCATAGGTCTAGACCCATGATTGTGATAAGAGAACAACTACGTATACAAAATATAATATACATTTTTTTTTTTGGAGGTTAATATAATATACATTTTGGGCAGCAAAATAAGTCTTGATATGCTTATAATTTCTTATAAATATTAGATTTCACTATTGAATAATTGAATTAAAAGTTTTAATGGGATCCATCAAATATATGAAATTTAATAAAATCATAAAAATGGATTGATACATCATAGAAATTCTTTTCTTTTTTTTTGTGTGTGGAGAAAACCATTGAAATTCTTTTTCTAGTGTATAACGAGTTTCCAAATAAAATAGAAAATCAACTATTAGATTGAATATTTGTGAATGAATTATTTATTTTAAATTTAGTGTTCATCATTATAGTGATGAAATAACATGATTTAATATTTAGATTAATAAATTTTACATTTTATACAAAATTATTTCATAATACAATTATAATTTTTTTTTTTTTTGGTAATCCAATTATTTTTACTCCGGGTTTAGGGTTTATTCGTATAGCAAGTGAATTCCTACTTTATATTTGAAGAAGGCATATAGGTAAGATTTATATTAATTACCTAGTTAGGACTTGCCCTTTTAATTCTCTCCCCCGGGCCCCGTCCTTAGCTATATGAAATGAAAAAACTATTGTCCTTAAAATTTGTGGTAATATAAACAAAAAAACCTACAATAACAAATATAAAGTCACCAACAAAGAATTTGCTAATAATAATAATAACAATAATAATAATAACAACAACCTATGTTGCACCGACACCGACACGAGATACGGGATACGACACGTTACGACACTCCGACACGTTAATTTTAAAAAATGTTAAATTTTGACACGTTAGGACTTAGGACACGTTTTGATATTATATAATATTTTTAATTTATGTAGTGTATATTACATTTAATATTCAATAATTTAATAAATAATAAAGTTAAATTTATAATACCCATTAATTTTGTAAAGAAACATAAGATATCCCAAATGTTTATATTAAACTCTGTAAAATAGTAATCGTAATCCAACGAATCTAATAGTTAAAACTCAAAATGCAACGCAACATAACTTTTGAACCTTTTTTTGAGTCTTTGCAATGAGTATTGGAGTGTCGAGAAGTGTCGGAGTATCGGTGAATGTCGGGAAGTGTCGGACACGACACGTCAGAGATTTTGAAGTGTCGATGCTTCATAGACAACAACAACAATAAAATACTTATATATGTCGGTATATTCAATTCCATATATTGCTCCAATTAGTCTATTATTTATATGATATAATTAAGGGCTTTGATTTTCTCGTGTTGGTTGCATGAGAATTCAATTCTCATGTTGTGACTCAATTAGTTGAGGGTCCCACACTTATTAAAAAAAAAAAGCTTTACACGCAAATCGAAGAGACACAACATGTGAAAACATGAGAAGTGTTTTTCTCTATAATTAATTACATATGAGTTTATCCCCTTCATGGAAAACAAGGAATTTTCCATTTACTTTGTGTTACTGCACACACAAATTTCAAGCAGTGCGTTTCTTCTTCTTCCCCCCCCCCCTATGTTGCCATAAGTGTTTTTTTTATATATATCGGTGGTTTGGATCAATGATAAATCTGAGAATATATGTATTGAATACTGTATTGATACTTGTCAATTTATCACATTAATTAATTAAAATGCTGAATCAATTTTTCCAAATTCCAGTACAACAAAAAAATGGCAGTATATATATATCTATAACCAAAGAATATCTATTAACCAAAGAATCAGAACACGTAAAGTTGTAAACAAACATTGCAGTATATAAAATTTTTATATATGTACAGACAAATAATCATACAAGCCAGATACGAAGATAAGTCTAAACTTTTACGGCGCACTAACCTAATACTTGAGAATCCACCGATGAATATACACATGCAGAGCCAAAAAACAACAGCTGCAGGGGGCAATTGCTCAACATAATTACCCCAAATAAGAATAGAAAGAGAATCCACCGACACCAAGCCATTCTTGTAAGTTTTAGTGGTGCATGCTCCTCCACCTGTACGGCTGTACACAATTAATCATATACATCTCAGTCATTTTCCTCATCAATCCTATGAGGAAAAATGGCACCAAAAAAAAATAAAAAATAAAAATGGCATCCCTTAAGATCATCTTCTATAATTTGCAACGATCTTCATTCTATACACTTCAAACAAATAAATCTAATGCTATGGACCATATATAAAATCCCCACAAATCTCAATATATACTAGGTAGGTATATACTAGGTAAGTTCATATATGCTTCATAATATTAATTATGACGGTTCGGTTTGGTTCCCCTTTCACGAACCATAACTGGAAGGCCACAGCTAAAAGTGGCAGTGAGGCCAGGAGAGAAACGTGGGTTACCATGAAACGGTGACACCAATTTGAAATGAAACTTTCTAATAAGTGAGAGTGCCACACTTTTGAGTTCCATCATAGCCATTTCTTTTCCCACACAAACCCTCAACCCTGCTTGGAAAACCGGGTATTTGAATGGATTTTCAGGGTTAAACATACCATCCTTCAACCACCTTTGAGGCTTAAACTCCAAACAATCTGGGCCCCATATTTCCTCCAACCTACCCATCGCATAAGGATGATATGTAACCCTAGTTCCACTCTTCACTCTTGTCCCATCTGGTAACACATCGTCCTCTAAACAGAACTTTGAATCGAATTGAATTGGTGGGTATAGTCTCATACTCTCATATGATGCTGCTTGCAAATAGTGCAGTTTCATAAGCTGTTCGAAGTTTGTCAGCTCTTTGTTTACTCCAATTACCTGATCTGCCTCTAGCATAATCTTTGATTCCACTTCTGGGTGTTTTGCTATTAACAAGAAGAAGCTTGTGAGTGCTGAAGCCACGGTGTCACGACCAGCCAATAAGAAACTTATGACAATGTCTCTTAGGTACGTGTCATCATGAACTGTTCTCATGAAACGAGACAACAAGTCTTTGTTTTGAGAAAACCCCATTTTGCGTCTTTGTTTTATGACCTCTTTGGCTAAGATATTGATCGTTTTAAGTGCTTCTTTTAGTTGCTTCTCTGTGCCTATATTGAACAACCTCTTCATCTTCCAAACTAAAGGGGACACAGCCATGGCTCTCTCAGCGGATAATTTTGATGCCAAGTCAAAGGAAACAGCGAATTCTGAAATGGGTAGAGAGTTCTTCTCAAGACACACAGGGTCTAACCCGAAGGAGAATCTACAAATGCTGTCGAAGGAGAATCTTCTAAACACGTCCTGCAAATCCAAAACGACACCGTCTTGCTGCTTTGACAATAGGAGAGGGATGAGTCGTTGTTGGATTTCGTTGTTGACAATCTCAATGGCGAAGGATCTTATGGAATACTTGTTGAGTTCCAAGCTTGCCATCTTCTTCTGAAACATCCACAATTCACCATCCACGTTGAAAATTCCTTTACCAAGAAAATCACCCAAGATCATTGAAAAGGTTTTCCCCTTCGGGTAGTTCTCGAATCTAGTCTTCAGCATGTACTCAACGTTGTCGGAATTCGCAGTGATCGTGTTTTTTAGGACATGTATGTGTATGGTTTTGCTTGGTGAGTTTTGAAGAAGGTGAACATACCAATCGCAAAGATTAGTGAAATCTTTGGACCAGCTTGAATTTAGATAAGCCTGGCAAGTTTCGCAACTACACAAGATGTTCATTCTGAGCAAATGAAGAGAGAGATATGCACAAATAGTGAACATCACTATGACAAGGAAGACTAGTGGGAAATTCAGAGAACCGATTAATAAACAGACATCGCTGAAGAACTGCAACAGCGAGCAGGTAGCTAAAGGTTCAGGTTCCATTGATGGACAATTAAAGATAAAACAGAGAGGATAATGAAATTAAAGGATATAGAAAGGAGAGAAAAAAATATGCAATCAGAGAGAGGCAAGTGGATTGGCATGAGATACAGGAGTTATATATAATTGATTGGATGATTTTCACACAACAGGAAATGTGTAGCGGAAGAAAAAGAAGTGTTACTTTTATCTTAATAGTTGATATTTGTGCATGTGACGGTTGTAAATTATTAAATTATAACGTATTAATTAATTATTACTACGAGAAATAAGATTTTTTATTCTTATATCAAAGTCAACAGTAATTTTGCATTCTATTATAATTGTTAATTCTACTTATATATAGCACCTAACATAATTAATAAATTAAAATAATTAGATATAAAAATGCAATATTTGTACTGGTGTAAGAATTGAAACTTAAAAGTCTCATATCAAATTTTAGTTATTAATCTCACTTATATTTAATTATTAGGATAATTAATAAATTAGAAATATTAAATGCAAGTGATCAATTCATGGTAGTCAAAAACTCATTTTAAAATTGCGTTTTATGTTTTTATGATTTTTTTTTTGTCAAAATATTTTATTATTTCAAGCGTTTTTATTCTTTTATAATTTTTTTCATTACAATTTTATATTTTATGATTTTTTATCGTTGTTCTGATTTTAAATAAAAACTAGATTTTAATTACTTTATCTTTGTCTTTTAATATATATAAAATGGGAAAAATTATTTTTATATTGCATGAGATAAAGTTTTTCTTCTTATATATTTTTCGATAATCGTGTCATCTCTTTTTTATGTTTTTATTTTTTCAGATGGTAGAGCTCATAAATTTTATTTTTATGACATAAGATAACTTATTTTATTTAACATCGTTTTAATAAAACCCTATATATAATATAAAGACCAAGGGGTGTGTTTCACACGGGATGATATCAATGTTATTAGAACCGGACCGGTCATTGACCCGGTCGAGGTACCGGGTCACTGGGTCAATGGTTTAACCGGTGGGTCACTGGTTGAACCGCATGAACCGGGTATATATATAAATTTATATTTTATACTTAATTATATAATAAATATTTTAAATGGTGCAATTCAAACAATAACTTGATGTAGTCTAGTGGTAATTACTATATTGCCTATCCTCAATGTAAGGGGTTCGATTCCTCTTAGATGCAATTTTTGAAATAATTCTATTAACTTAATAGTTATATAATAAGTATATTAAATGGTGTATTATATTCAACAGCCAATGATAGTGTAGTGGTTTGAAGCTGCGCTCCTCACATCAAAGGGTCGGGTTCGATTCCCACCTGGCGCAAAAATTGGAATATTTTGTAACTTATTTTAAAAAACCGGTTTAAAGGTAAAACCGGTACCGGTTTACACCGGTTCAACCGCGGTTTATGACCGGGTCACCGGGTTGATTCCGGGTCAAATGTTTAAACAGTCCAATATTGAAACCGGACCGGTTGATGGGCCGGTTTCCGGGCCAACCGGTCCGACCGGCCGGGCCGGTTTTAATAACACCGGATGATATCACTAGAGAAGATGAGGTGTTTACGGTAAATTTCCTATTCATATATATGCTGTATGTGTGTACATAAATATCTCGTACTTGGTTTAGTGGTAGACAAATGCTGCAACCAAGAGTGATTGTTGCAGAAAGCTAGAAAGTAACATAGGTAAAAGTACCCAAAGAATCCGTGCGCGCGCTAGGAAACAAAGTGAGTTCAATAGAGGTATGACTCGTTGCTGCATCATCCATGATGTAATTTTGTACCATAAGCACAGTACCGCACGTGCTTAATTTTGAGGCCACCATCGCATCTGCACTGACATGTTTTGCTCGCTGATCACTTTGGACAAGATTTTTTTTGTTTTCTTGGCCAGAACCTTTTCGAGGAGTGTGGGCTCGTATAATGCAAAAAAGTTTTAATTCTTTCCCTAAAATTATTTATCAATTTAACGAGTGAAATGGACATGGAAGAGTATGCAGTCGCACATAATTCTTATGCGTTATTTGGGGAAAAGTTAGCACAATGCACTTATATCCATGCATATCTTATAAAATATGGGAAAAAAAATTAATTTATTATAATTTAAATAAATAATTACGAATATATAATTATTTCGAAATTCTTTATGAAGCAGTTATTTATGCCTAATGAGGGCATGATCACGTAGGCAATCACACCTAATTCAAGTGTGACTCATACGGTGCTTGACACGTGGCATAAAAAAATAAACAGTTTGATTGTAAAACTTTGGAAGACAATAACTTTAGTTTCGGATGCCCAAATTAGGTGATTTTTATTTTATTCCATGTAAATTTTTGAAATCTACGTAGTGACACATCATTTGACGTAATTTATCTCTCACAAACCCAAAAGCCTCCGGGTTCTTTCCGAACCAACACCATAAGCTGCAACATTGATGGAGAGAAAATCACTGTCATGATTAGAAACATTCGTAACAAACATTCCTATAATTATAGTACCATTGTTCAAATTCAAACTATATTTACGAGAGACGAAACTTCAATTTAAATAACATCATTTACACTCACAAATATAAAATATACCAAATGTGTTTATCTCAAAAAGTTATGCGAAATAAAAAAAAAAACTGATTCGGGCACCCGAGACCAAAGTTATAGTCTTCCAAAGTTTTATGATAAAATATCCTAAATTTTGGAAAAAATTTCACCAAAATTCCCTTTAATAAGATGTCATTGCGTAGGTCTTGAAAAGTTATATGAAATCAAATTTTTTTTTACCTAATTTGAATAATCGAGTCAAAAGTTATATGATTTTCCAAAATTTTACGGTCAAACTGTTGATTTTTTTATGCCACGTGCCAGCACCGGAAGTGAGGTTGGTCACGCCTAAAAGAAGCATAAGTGGTCACGCCTTTTTTAGGCGTGAATGTCTCGTGGGCCATGCTTCAGTGAGACGTGAATGGTCACGTCCAATTTGGGCGTGAGTAACTGTAATAGATTCATAAATAATTTCAAAACAATTATGAATTATGAATTTCAAAACAACTATATATTCATAATTATTTATTTAAATTTTAATAAATTAATTTTTTGCCACAAAATATGACATATAACAAGTGCATTTTAACTTTTGCACAAATTACATATAAGATGAAATGCACATATCTCATGTGCATTTCATTCACATTAAATTAATTAATAATTTCATAAAAAAATTAAAATATTTATTTTTTTCCTTCTTTCGGGCAAAAGGCCCATTTTCGAGTTTAATAAGGCATTAATATATGAATAGTTATAGTATTTTTCTGCCCATTAGTGGAATTGCATTGTAAGTATTTCAACTGTCACGTGCTTGGTTTTCATTTGCTTTCTGTTTTTTTCATATTTCAGATATGTTCTTAATTAGAAGAGACTGAGAAGAACACCCAACCTGTTTTGAGATCCTATTTGTGAGTTTGACCACTAGAAGTGTTTTTCCAGCTTCACGAATACCAGGTGATTACGAAAGAGAATTTTGAGGGTATTTTGATATACAATGTTGGAGTTTCAGGGAAAGGATCTAACGTTGTTAGTTAAAGAAGAGGGATTTAAATTTGAGTCCTACCCATCTATGTGGATTGTGGAATCAGGTAATTATTTGGAGTTGTGTGGGATCTTCTTTGAGTGGTGTTGGTAATTTAATTATGGTTAATAAATTCTCATATCAGGTGAAAATAAATTAAGTAAGAAACATCTAAATGAAAAAGACCTTTTTATAATCAAAATAATTTATATCGAAAAAAAAATTAATTAGTTCAAAAATTCTAATGATATTATAAAACAATTTTAGATTATATAATTAGCTTATGTAGAGAAAAAAAATACATAATAATGAAATTGGTTAATATTAAATGTCTGTATTATATAAGACATAAAAGCATTTATAATGAGAGATATGTTTTCATAGCAAGGCGACAAGTAGATCATGCCGCTATTATAAAAGACATACACAAAGACTAAGTATGATAATCTTCTTCTAATTTACTTAAGTTCATTACTCAAATACTGACTTAAATATGGTTAGAGTGCCTGATGTGCCTTCGGCATATAGGTATTTCAGATTGAAAAGAACAAGGATTTGACAGTAATTCAGAGATAAAAAGTATTATTTTTAATGAATTATTGATAATTTATCTTCAGACACACTTTCACTCTGATTGTTTTTATAGGAGGAAAGCATGGAAATAAGCTATGTTGCAAATAACCAACTCACGCGAATAGCAAGAGAATGGCGTAGATCGCGCCAGATTAAGGAAGAAAGAGCAAACACCACTGCAATTCACGCTAATAGTGTGATTTTCACGTTAGTAGCGCCAAGAACAGAGTCCTCCACTGCTTCCCCGCGCGAATCTGGCGCTGGCCGCGCGCGGGCGTCGTGATTTCAGCGTCCTAATTGCATGTTTGGATAAAAATAGAAAGAAAAATCAAATCTTTTGGAAGATTATGACCTGATTGGGTGATGGGTTATAAAAGGGAGTCAGAAACCCTAAGAAAAACAACTTTTTGCACGAGAGAAATTACGAACAACGGAAATCGGAACAAGCTCTTGGTGACTGAAGATTCAAGATTTCTTCTTCCCATTATCCTGGTTATTATTTTATTTTATGAATTCTTTTCTATACATTAAATTGTCAGACATGAACATATCTGGTTAGTCTTTTATTATTGCGGTAAGGGTCACAACCCTTGATGTGAACCCCTTGTAGTTTGGTTAATTTTATATTTAATGATTCCAATTGCATTTATTTTATCTTGTTCTTCATCTTATAATTCTTTTAGAACCGATCACTCTATTAGGATTGCGAGGGTTAGGGTTTTCAATAGGAATATTGAGATTCTAATTCCTGACAAAGGATAAAATAACAATTCATGTACGCACTAGGGATAGGCTTCACGAATTGCAAACGTGAAAAATTCACTGATTTAAAAGGCTTAACTTGAAAAGGAATTTCT